TATTATTCCAAAAATTATAATACTAAATAATGGGAGCCAAAAAATATAGTTATGCTAGTGTGACATCTTGGTTGGTAATTTTTTTGACATTTCATGATGCGACAAGCAATCAGATTATTGATTTAAGCCACTATTTGAGCCATATTAAAATTTTCATTCTTATTTTTTACTCATTTTCAACCACATTTTTCAATAAAATAATATTTTCTATCACATTAATAATTTTTCATTCTTTTTCAACCGCACATTTGCCATCAATCCACTATTTCAAAATATATTCTTTCAAAATAATGTGGCTCAAATAATTATTACTGAAATCAAGGATCTTATTACATATACATAAACATTCAAATGAAATTACGCAATGATACATGACACTATATTATTTGTCAGCTTAAAATACAATCAATATTTCCATCCACTCTTTTTCCTCGTCATTTCATGTAATCATCGGGATTATTTTAATATTCAAGTAGCATAATCCTCAAATCAATGACTATATTTTTTACACATCAAGAAACTAATTTCATGTCAACAAAAATGTCAAAAATGGACGTGGGAGTAGTTTAACTCCTAAATTTATCCCACCCTTGATTACAAACCTGAATTTCAAATTCCACCTACTAATTTTTTGGGTGACCCACAAAATCATAGTATAAATAACTGAGATCTTGTGCTTGAAAGTACATCCTGTATTAAGAATTGAAGCTCAAAGCAGCGGATGGACTTGTACAGGGATGGCTATGGAGCAGGAGCAGTGCTTTCTACAAATATACTTAATTATTTTGCTCCATATCCAGTCCTGAGCGAGTCTGGATCTGCTGTTTTCATTTCTGGAAATGGGCATATGAAGTCACTGAATTGATGCATTCCCTCCTGTACGAACTTTTACTGCTTTCTTATTTTAGAATTTTACAGACTTAATTTATATATTGTTTTGCATTTAACTACCTTTTCTTCGTATTTTCAACTTTTGCTTTCCATGGGCATGTTGGGTTTTCAAAATCAGTTCAAATGATGCATAGGTTTCGATGTATTCTAAACTAATTATTTTATATCCAATTTCTTGGCATTCCCCATCATTTAAGTTTGTTTTGATGATATGATTTTCTCACTTTCCTATTTTTGATGTTTACATTTTAAGATGGGATATCTGCTATGGTTATATCAATCTACACGCTAAGGTATGAACTATGAAAAAAAATCATATTGCACTGAAACTAGTTATGTGGCCCGGCAGGGGCGGAGCCAGCTCGGGGGGCCGTAGGCACCAGGCAAGCCTCGGCGGCCGCCTGTGCTGGCTTGCCTAAGAGTCATGAACTATTTTTCATAAACAAACTCGTTATAGACTGTCACTGAGAAGCACGTGTGCAAATGAATAAAGCGTGACTTCTAACCGAATCGATTACAAGATAACCAGCAAGGAGCCACCGTCTGGCACAACTTTAAAATGACCAAAGTACCCCAATGCTTGGAGAGAAATCCATAAATACCCTCTCATTTAAAGAAAAAGGCATGCAATTCAAATATATCCCTCTCAATTAGCTATTTCTCCTCTTATTCTAGTTGAAACATCAAGACTAGTGAATTTAGGAGGTGAAAGTCATAGTTAGGCAAGAGGATTTGTTGATTGTATTTAC